AAATTGCCAAACACTTAGGAGTTAGCAAGTCTTCTATAAGTCGGGTTCTCACGCACTTTCGAAGATATGGATGCATTGAAAAACTTCCATCACTTTCAGGAAAACCACGTTCACTAGGCACGAATGAAATAAAATATCAGTCGACAAAATTCATGATCATATTTAGCTTTTTTAATTACGGCACCTGTTCAAGTAATATATTTGTTATAAAAGTCTAATTTATATTCGATTCCTTTTTAAACAGTTTTTTCCATAAATTTTCACACAAACTAAGCACACCAAACATATTGGACAAGCATTCGAACGAAAATTTAAAATCGTTGACATTGTTGTTATGACAATTATAAAATAATCATTATGATACCGATACGTACAAAAATAGTCATTCGGCAAATTTTTACAGGTGTCCCAGGAATTATGATAATAGGCTAAACTGCCGTGCATTCAGCTAGGTTCAATCACATGATCATGTGCTAGGCTATCATTAAATAGAAATCGATCTTCTAAGCAAAAAAAAAATTTTTTTAGAATATTATTATTCTCAACCATTTCGAAAACAGCGTTAATTTTTTTTTAAACTTTTTAAATTGGTTTGATTTATTAATAGGCATTACTAATTTCATGGGAAGGAATTCAAATTGCGTGGTTACCTTTTTAATTTTTTTATTTAAAATTTTTTTATTAAAAATAGTGTTCCTATCCATTATCCATTTATCCATCAGATATCCGGATCTGAACTTATTCGAATATCCGTTTTATATCCGTTTACTATTGATATCCGGATAATTATCCGAATACCTGTCGGATTATCCGGATATCCGAGCGATTTTGGATTATTCGGATAAACGGATACGGATAAATGGATGACGGATTGTCCGGGTTGGAATTCTAATTAAAAAACATAATTAAAGCTTACAAATAATAAACCCACTGTATCTTCGCAAAGTAACATTCTGGGGGTTATTTTGGAGCGCACAATTTCCAAAGTGGCTTGGTCAAATCCACAAAAATTGATCTCCTTTTTTAACCAATCATATTTTACGATCAGGTGCGATTTTTTGTCATGTAACCATACACTCCATTGCGTTACGTTCCTGGTATGTGATGAACCAAACACACTGATATAATATAACTTTTACAAACTGTGTAAACTGACGGCTAAAACTAATCTATACTCTAAGAAAAAAAGTTGCGGGAAAACCAAAATTAATAAAACCTTGTATTTAATTAGGTTAAGGCCTATCGGTAAAATTTCACAAGGGACATTTTAGTTATGTCGTAGAAGGTTGTTTCTTAATCAAAATATCGCTTTTTTTTTGTTGTTAATATTAAAATGGGTTCGCTTCGATCTTAGTTACACCTGATCTTGAAATTTAATTGGTCAAAATTACAGGGAGGAACAATTTTGCAGTATCACTCCCCCGATGATTCATGTATTAATAATTGCAGATTATAAGTTGAACTACTTGTTTTTAATGCGTAGAAACTAATACAAAAACAATTTTGTTTTAAAGAATACAATATATAAATTTAAAAATCTTAACCTTGGAAAAATTGTACCGATAATATATGTATATAACCTGCATATAACTTCTGACATTCAACATTTTCGGATATTTTTTTAATATCAGAATTATTATCACTTGGTATATTATTGGTGAATAATTTCCGGTACCATACCATCATCTGTAAGCTCCTTCTTTAACTTGTAATTAGATAAATTTCTGTAATCATTTGCTTTACAGGCAAGGATTGCCCATCCAACAGTAGTATCCGGTGCCTTCAATCCTCCCTTACGAATTTTTCGTCGAAATAAACATCCTATAATAAGCATAATTATGTATGCACCCATCAATATAAAATAGACAGGATGTATTGAAATACATGATGTAGTTATTTGTACTGGTACATTTTCAATCGATGCTGTCTGAGTATCTTTCGTAGAAAGAAATGATGACCAGTGGTCTGGATTATATTCATATATCGAGGTGTCATGTCCGTTTATAACAGCAAGAGTCCAAATTCTTCCAGTTAGAACGCCAGCTACATCAACGTCTGCGTCTATGAAGCGTCCTAGTAGATTATAACTCCCGTTTTGACCCACTTTAACACGTTCTACTTTACATGTGTATGCCTTAACAACAACAGGTACCAATATAATTTCAAATTCTGTCACATTATCTGGGTTATAAAGGATTCTAAATGCTTCAGGAACCCTAAGTGTCCATAGTCTGTTTATGTACTCGAATCCAATTATGTCAGAATCGTTTCCTCGTGTAAACTCTTCCATCATTACTATGAAAGCACCATTTGCTCGATATTCTTCACTATTGGTTGTATTATAATATTTAAATGATTCATAATTATCTTTTGTATAATTGTATCCATCAGGACTATTACGAAATTTATACTCTGCATGTACTTCTGGAAATGCTTCGATTATAGTAGGTACTAAATTTAGAACAGAAGTGTTCATATTTGTTTGGATCACTCCAGATCTATAGAGTGAACACGAGCTTCTCCATGGGTAAGGATCAACATCAAGACGAGTATTGAATTTCCAACGAGGGTCTAAAGGAATTTGTCCTACTAATATATCACCTGGTACGCCACTCTTATTTCTTCTCTGCATCATTGTACTTACTTCTGCATAAGAACCGTACGCTGATCTATGAAAGTCATTTGTTATTTGCGCCTGTGACATCACAGTAATTTCTTTACACGATTCTATGTAACTAATAGAATTTACAACAATGATACCATCAAAGGTTGTAAGCACCAGACTAAATATAAACATTTGTCACTGGCATTGTCCATTTCATATACAGAGACAGCATTTTACAAACATCCATAATGTTAGTTGGTACTATAGCTTCCAATATAGGTACCTCATGATCATTAACAAATTGATTTAGCATCCGTACTTTCACGGCATTAGTCAATAAAAAAGTCCATGTTAAACCAGCAATATTAAGAATAAGCCCTAATGCTGTTTGAAATTGGTTTAAAGTTAACGTGGTTGCAATTTCAATGCTCATAATAAAAAATTATATCATAATATACTGTAAATATTAATGCAATTAACTAAAGTTTAAGTATAGATAAAAAGCCTATATATTTATGTATATTTCTAACGGAGGATATACTGTATCAACTTTATCGCTAAATCAAAGATGCTTACATGAAACCTAAAAATGTACTTTATTGGCAATAACTTTAGAATCTTAAAGCAAAGGTTCGCAAATAAACAACATATGTTGTGCTGTTAGAAATAAGATACTTGATAGTACAGTGTAACGGTAAAATGGTGTACAGAACTAGTGATGGAAATCGCTAATTCCAGAATTCTACGTATATCCTATTACAGTAACTATGCAACACAAAGGTCATAAAACCAATTTAATGGCATTCCGAATTTGAAACTATCGCATCTAATTGGTTAATTTAAATTCTAAAAACGGCCTTGATAAGTACACAGCGGTATTGCATAATGCGTATGCGACATGGCCCAAATTATGCGCATATTATGCAGCATCATAATCCCAGACACTCTAATTGGGACAGAACAATCACGTAATTGTATTAAGAACGGAAAAATATCAAAATTTGAATCAAACTATTTTGGTACCTATCCGACCAAATTTGGTAGATTTTTTTATTTGAATTCTATGAAAACATGGAATTAAAATAAAAAATTAATTGAGTTTGGACAGGTTGTTATGGAGATATCATCGCTCAAAGTTTTAAAAAATTGTATTTTGATCGACGTTTTTTGATTTATCTCCAACTTTGAGCGAAGGTATCTCCATAACTACTCGACCAAATTCGATGAAAATTTTTTTTATTTGAATTCTGTGAAAAACATAGAATTCAAATAAAAAAAATAATTGTGTTTGGACAGGTAGTTACGGAGATATCTTCGTTCAAAGTTTTAAAAAATTGGCGTAGCTTCTAATAAGTGCTTTGATTTTCTCCAACTTAAAGCGAAGATATCTCTATAACCACTTGACAAAATTCGATGAATTTTTTTTTATTTGAATTCTATGAATCAATAGAATTCAAATAAAAAAATTATCTAATTTGGTCGGATAGTCACCAAAATAGTTTGATTCAAAATTTGAAAATTTTTTATTTTTCCGTTCTTAATAAAATCACGTGATTGTACTGTCCCAATGCACACGGAAATATTTCGAAATCAAATTTTCATTATATAAAATCGAAATTTTTGCTATAAAATTTGTATCATGTGATATAAATGATTGGCTTATAATTTTCACTATTTTAATTTCAGCCGGGATTATCGTTGTTTTTTTTAATGCTGGTCAAATTGAAATTTTTACAAAAATCGATCGAAATTTTTGCTTTAAATCGAAATAATTTTCTGTGTTCCTGACTGTCCCAGTTCTCGCGGCCGTGGATCACGTGAATTTCTAAACATTTTATTCACATTTCTATATTCACTCCAAAACCAGTCTGATTTTAATAATCAATCGCCTTCTATCAACTTATACCTATCTGGTGATTCAAGCTGAGCACACACATTCTGAACAATTTATAAATTATATTGTCTAACTGTTCATTTTTATCCCTTAATGAGTTACCAAGAATTTTTAAATTCAATAATTAATATAATACTTTAATTAAAAAATTTCAATTAAATTTAAGTGATTTGTCATCTTGATAACTAGTGCTCGGCAAAATCAAACTTTTTTTTTTAGTCAAATACATGTGACGATCTGACTTTTAAAGTAATACGGCAAGGTAATACAATCTTAATCTAATAAAATTGTTTGTACATAACTTTTACTTAGCGTTAAGTGTTTTTATTATATCTTTAAATTTTTATTAGCATTAAATATTTATTATATAGTGTTAAATATATATACTATAAAGCTAGATTCCGATTTACAATTTTATAGATTTTAATGAAATAGCTATTTAAACTTATAGACCTTATTATTAAGGTGACAGATTCTATTACTTCAACATTCAGACGATTTCAGACAATTAGAAGGTAGCACATTCGAATTAGGAAGATCTGTGTATACTATTTGTATTGTATGTATCAGTAACGTTTTGATTATCATTATTAAGTTGACAGGTTAACCATTACTTCGAGAAATCAGAAGATTTTGGACAACTAGAAGGTAGCACATTCGGTTTAAGAAGATCTGTGTTATATTATTTGAATTCAGTGACAAAGATTTCTAATATTGGAATATTTCAGATGACTAGGAGTAGCATGTTCGGATTATAAAAGCTGTTATATTATTTGAATTTAGTAATATAGAATTTTAACATTGTAATTATGAAAGTAATATAAGCAAATTAATAGCTTCTTTTTTCAGTTTTCTAGGTAATTATACTTTGGAAATCTGTACAAAAATGGTTGACATTTGGTTCGTATTTACTTTTAGCTAAGCTAAAATATTTTTGAAAGAGTATGTGACTTCTTATATATGTTACTAATTTAATATATTCTGCAACATGTGTATTTAGTATAATTAAAGGTAGATGTAATACTTATTTATAATCTCTTTGTGTTTTCTGATATTCAAAAAGCTAACATTAGCTACTCTTTAATAACCTACTAGTATTAGGATTGTGTTTTCTTATTGGCAGGCTTGTTCTTCTTAAGAAAGGTAAACTTAAACAACAGTTTAGTTCGACTACTGCACAAGCAAGTTTTAGTTTGATGACTTTATCACTTATTGCTCTAATTCTCTCTTTTCTTTAATTAAATAGGCTAAGGCAAACCCACATCAATATAGCAGGCTAATAAAACTGATGCAAATCAGATCTTTAATAATGTATTTGGAAAATTATTGCAACCTAAAGTGAATAATCCATATTGATTCTTTGTACTAATTAGTGTAGTTGCTGGTTTTATTTTAAAAGGCTTATTTTGTTACCTTCTTACAAAGTTGGCATAATTGGTATGAATTTTTGTATGAATTATGGTTAATTTTTTAATATTTCTCAAATATGTTGTTGCTTTACTGATATTTAAGTAGTGGAGCTGGGTATTAACAATTGTAGTATATTTTTTAATTAAGTGTTATTCTAGAGTATTTGGAAAAATACTGTAGCCATTATTAAACCTCCAATATTCATCATGTATATCCAGATTTATTATATTTTAATATAATTAGAGAGAATTTTATGCAATTTTATGAATATGCAATAAGCTTTGAAAATTATCCCAATAAATATTTGAAACCGCTTTATTAATAAATTTAGTTAATAATATTAGTTTGTATTATAATATAAATAGATAATATATTCCAGTAATATGCAACACATAATAGTATCATCTATAAAAATTATATATGAGTGCATCTCACGGATGCGATGCCTTTAACTTATAAAATATATTTTTTTATTATATATTATTATTAATCAAATAAAAATACACTTTACGTATATATAATATGTAAAAATAACTAATACTAATTTTATATATATATCTTTTAATTTATCCAATCACAAAGAGCGATTACTTTTTGGATTGTCTCTAGATTTAATGATCCACACTTTTTAGTATCCATATCTGAACCTCTTGAGAATAGTCTTTCAGATGAAGCACTTGTTGCGAGTATAGCAAGGTAATCCTGTGCTATAAGTGCTAATTTTGAAAAATCCTTTTCAAATATTTTTCACTATTCAAATACATTTATATTATTATCTACTACAAAACTACTTAAATATCTACTAATTTCATTTTCAGTTGCACTAGTTGCAGAACAAATCTTTTTGAAGACATGATTAAGACACTTCTAGTATAGGAATATCACTAATTTTTGAATTTATTCCTGGTATAGTATCATAAGTATAATTAAAATATATGTCATTTAACCATTCAAATGCCCAACTAACCCACTCTGCATTACAATTATTTACTTCATAATAAGTTTTTTTTAGTCGCTGATCTAATAAAGTTGTCACCGCATATATAGGATTATCACTTTTGGCATAATAAAACCTTAATTTCTTATGAGCCACTTGAATAGCCTTATTAATTACTTGTAATAACCCATCTTTTTCTTGCAATTCCTCAAGGTTGTCTATAATCAAATTAAATGCTAAAACAGCAAGAGGTATTGTAACATAAGATTTACTACATAACATTTTGGATATTTTACGAAAATTTTTAAAGATATTGAAATATCTTTTAACATATTCCATTCTCTTGATTTGAGACCAAATGTATTTAGCTCAGAGATTTTTTTAACTATTCCATTAATTGCTAGAGTCATAGCAATAGCATATTCAATCATATTAAGAGTCAAATTCCACTTGTCTTTGAGTCAAGAATTGGATTCTTAAACTGTATGCTGAAAAATTTACACAATTCTTTTAACCTTTTACAACATTGAGGTGAAGACCAAATTTTTGTGATAAGCTTATGAAGCTTTTTAACAGTTGGGAGTTGAGAAGTATCAGGCTGGTTCAAAATATTAAAGTCATTATTATCCTGATCTGGTGCATTGAAATATAAATAAAATAAAAAATCTTGTAAAGCAAAATTAATAATATGAGCAAGGCAGTGGACATGACCTTGCCCTTTAATAAAAGAACCACCAACACTTGTAGAAAGTGTTTCAAATGCTTCAAGAAAAGTGTTGTTATTTGAAGCATTGTTGAGGATTATTCCAAGTATTTTATTAGTGATACCAAAATCCTCGCAAATACTAATTAAAGCATTTGCTATATTTAGTCCAAAATGTGATCCTTCAAATAGTACAAGATCAAGTACGTGACTTTGAATTTTTCAGTCATTATTAAGCCAATGAGCTATAATTTCTAAAAATATACATCAGCAAAAATATATATGCGTAAACTTTCATAAGTTTTTACTGTGCGTAAGAAAATCATAAACTTACGTAAAATTTAGCGTAAAACTACGTAAATCTTATGGTGCATAAGAAAATCATAAATTTACGTAAAAATTTTACGTAAATTTATGAGTTTCTTACGCACCGTAAGATTTATGTAAACTAACATAAAATTTTTACATAAATTTACGATTTTCTTACGG